TACCAGAACAACACTGGAGTATGCAACACCGGCCTGGAATCCGCATCTTGGGAAGCACAAAGCAAAAATGTTAAAAAGTTCAGAGGTTTTAAAGTTTCCATCAATGACTAAAAGGGGTTAAGCTTTGAGGATAGATTAAGGTAACTAACACCTCACTTCCCCTGTAGTCACATATAGGTAAACACTACAACAACTCCACCTACCATATTTCACAACCCTCAACACCACTACCACATTCAACCACCACCACAACCACCACCACCATCACCACCATCACCACCACCATCACCACCAACCTATTCTTTGCGGATCCGTATGAGGTTAAGAAGTGAATATAGCAAAACGTTACCCCAATTAAGGTCGGTCCAGTTACCAGAGAAGCTAACCTGACTCGCCTCTTTTAAAATAAGGCTCCGATCACCGCTCCTGGGAGTCACCGTTTTCTGTTTAACAGCTGAAGTTCAGAGGGAGAGGAGAGAGGGAGAGAGAGCGAGAGCGAGAGCGAGAGGGAGAGAGGGAGAGGGGGGGGGAGAGAGAGAGAGAGAGAGAGAGAGAGAGAGAGAGAGAGAGAGAGAGAGAGAGAGAGAGAGAGAGAGAGAGAGAGAGAGAGAGAGAGAGAGAGAGCTAGAGAGAGCGCGAGAGAAAGAGCACGAGAAAGAGAACAAGAAAGAGCGAGAAAGAGATATCACACACCGTCATACACGTACACCCCCCCCCCCTCACACACACACACACACACACACACACACACACACACACACACACACACCTAAAGAAACACATTAAGAAACAAGAAAGGGTTCAGAAGATTGCGACGAGGCTCGTCCCAGAACTGCGAGGGATAGGTTATGAAGACTGAAGGAACTAAACCTAACGACAAGAAAAAATGGAGAGAGAGGGAGGACATGATAGAGACGTACACAATACTCAGGGTGACAGAGTGGGAATAGAGGAAATATTCACACTGAATACTAATAGAACAATAGGGCTTGTGTGGAGGCTAATCTAACGACTCAGGCGAATCATAGAGATGTTAGGAACTTTTCATTTAGCGTAAGAGTTGTGGGAAAAGGGAATGAACTCAAGGAACAGGTTGTAAAAGCAAACTCCATTCAAAATTAAAAGTAGATATGATAGAGAAATAGGCTAGATGGTCATTGCTTTAGTCAGAAGGCAAGAACGGCGGGGTCCAAGAGCTAATTCTCGATCTTGCTTACACAAATAGGTGAGTACACACACACACACGTAGATCCACTTGTGAGTTCAAGTGGAAACTGAATACCCAAATGAGCCACAGGGACGTCAGAAAGAACTTTTTTAGTGTTAGAGTAGTTAACAGATGGAATGCATTAGGCAGTGATGTGGTGGAGGCTGACACCATACACAGTTTCAAGTGTTGATATGATAGAGCCCAATAGGCTCAGGACTCTGTACACCAGTTGATTGACAGCTGAAAAGCTGGACCAAAAGAGCTAGAGTTCAACCCCTGCAAGCACAACTAGGCGAATACACACACACACCGAGCGCTACTTCCCCCTCCCCCCCCCACCGACCCCAATCCAGCCCAGCGATCGATGAGCTAATCAAAAACTAACAGGAAGCTAATCTCCCCACAACATAAAGTACACTGATCACCCTTGACCCGCCCACTCTCACAAAATCACATTAAGCTTCCATTTCCTTTCTGTGTAACGAACGATATCCTGCTTGTCAACAGGCTTGTCGCTCGTGTCGTCCCGCAGCGGCACGGCACACCGCCCGTGTCGCCCAGACAGGTGTCCGTAACCGCCCGTGTCGCCCAGACACGTGTCCGTAACCGCCCGTGTCGCCCAGACACGTGTCCGTAACCGCCCGTGTCGCCCAGACAGGTGTCCGTAACCGCCCGTGTCGCCCAGACACGTGTCCGTAACCGCCCGTGTCGCCCAGACACGTGTCCGTAACCGCCCGTGTCGCCCAGACACGTGTCCGTAACCGCCCTATAAACACTCCCACGAAACAGAAACTTACAGAAAGACGACCAACAGTTTTAATTCACACTTTCCTTCGAGCGAACTTAAATTTGCTTGTCTTGGAGTTAAGTTAAGAGGCAGCAGGTGTGACTGAGGGTGGGTGGCGCTGTGTCGCTGCCTCAAGGTAAATTGTGCAAGATTTTCAAAGGATTTCCTGAACTGCGTTTTGCACCTTGACCAATCAACTCCATTTAAGGTTTACTCTTCGTTGTCAAACATCTGCTGAGCTCACAAGGCCTAGCCTGTCAACCCGTTCTCGCACTTGCTTGCGGTCATTATTGGCTTATTTAATAAGTGCATATGTGACATACTAATTGATTGTGAATATTTTAGTTTACCTTGAAAAGCTTCACAGAAAACACCGACCTCACCTAACCATCTTAGTATGTTAAGATAAGCATCTTATTGCTTCTTATTTACAATTATTACTTAACCTATCAACGGTATAGGTTAAGTAATAATTGTAATTAAGAAGCAATAAGATGCTTATCTTAACATACTAAGAAGGTTAGGTGAGGTCGGTATTTTCTATGAAGCTTTACGAGGTAAACTAAAATATTCACAATCAATTAGTATGTCACATATGCACTTATTAAATAAGCCAATATTGACTATAAGGAAGTGCGAGAACGGGTTGAGCCTGTAGGGACCGCTGGCAGGTGCCTGCTATACTGAGGTGACCGAAGGATCATTTATCTTGCTAGGCTTTGATGGGCGATCTCGCAGATGTTATTAAAAACAATGGAGATTATCCTGGGGTGGGACCGCGGAAGACGAATCGGTGGGGGTTGATATTACACCCAACCTGTCACCAGAGGCTCATAACCAAACCATCATCTGCATACGGAATGCTGGCTCATACAAGCCTTTATGCCTCTCAACAAAGAGTCCTTCATAAATTTCTATATCATTTACATGTGATGTAAATGATATAGATGTAAATAGATTTAGATGTAAATAGATGTAAATAGATGTAAATAGATATAGATTTACATGTGATGTAAATGTGACAGCTTTGGCATTTGTGGCCCCAATGTGAAGTCCTGATTCAGTTAAACACAAAAGGAAGAAGCTGGAGAGAGTTCAGACATATGCTACCATACTACACTCCAGGGGCCAGATTCACGAAAGCACTTACGCAAGCACTTACGAACGTGTACATCTTTCCTCAATCTTTGACGGCTTTGGTTACATTTATTAAATAGTTTACAAGCATGAAAACTTGCCAATCAACTGTTGTTATTGTTATAAACAGCCTCCTGGTGCTTCGGAGCTCATTAACTGTTTAATAATTGGAAACAAAGCTGCCAAAGATTGAGAAAAGATGTTCAGGTTCGTAAGTGTTTCCGTAAGTGCTTTCGTGAATCTGGCCCAAGGAGTTGAGAGGTAAGAGCTAGGAGGAAAGACCACAGGTGTTAAACCTCACGTCGCTGGAAATCGTCATATATATATATATATGTGCATACAATTAAGCCATTGGACCAAGTGAACTATTGTGGCCCGTACCAACATTGCCTCTAACAGTAAGCGCCGCTGGCCATACCACAAACAAGGCAGACAGACACAAGTATAAACAATCCGCCACTCTCGTGCTCTGACCAAAACAAACTTGGAAAAACACGTTTTAACGCACATCATTCTCACATAGCTCCTTCAGTCAGCTGACAACCGCCTGAGTGTGCTCGCTCTATTGGAGAACTTTACAATAGATTAATATAATATTTAGTAGAAATAGCAATGACAAAAATCCGTTACTGTGATTATGAGTTCACTTGTGCATATATAATAATATGTTTAACTGTTGTTTGATATTGCATCTCTTCCCAAATAATAAAAGTTTTTGCCAACTCTTAATCAGCCAAATTCTGCAAGTAGACTTGAGAAAATAGAAGACAGGTGTGCGTGAATTCACACACACACACACACACACACACACACACACACACACACACACACACACACACACACACACACACACACACACACACACCTCTCACCATACTCTCCAGTATCAATAACTCCCTCTTAGCACTTCAGGGGCCCCCTTCCCATATCCCTCAGCCCATCCCCTCTCACCAGCCCCTTCTGTCCCTGACTGTTCCTTCCATCTTGCTACTCCTCAGCCACTCAGCACAAAATCAAATCACACAATAGAAAGAAAACCAATATTACAAAAAGTTGGAGGTATTGACCCTCTTAGAACGATTACTTTTAACTAAGATAATAAAGTAGTTGTCACAACAGTTACAAAAATCAGAGGCTGAGAGTGACAAGAACCGTGGACATTTTCAAGAGGAAACTAGATTTATTCCTCCAAGGAGTGCCGGACCAACCGGGCTGTGGTGGGTATGTGGGCCTGCGGGCCGCTCCAAGCAACAGCCTGGTGGACCAAACTCTCACAAGTCGAGCCTGGCCTCGGGCCGGGCTTGGGGAGTAGAAGAACTCCCAGAACCCCATCAACCAGGTATCAACCAGGTAAGAACTTTTCAAACAAGACATGCCAGATCAATGATGGCATTTTCTACAATACTAGTGCTCTCTAATGTTGAATATTATTACACAAACAACCTCATTCAAAGCTTGAGAATGTCCCATGACCCTCAGAACGGGCAGAGATCTTGTACTGCTTGAATCCATTCAATAAAACCATTATTTATACCGCTTAAAATTCCTAAATCAGTATTCTCTAGAGTGCCGCCGAGAGACGTAATTGTTAAAAAAAATAAAGGGATTACTTCCAAATCTGCACAAGGAAATGACTCCCAACGAGACCAGGAGGTAGGTAATTATAAGGCACTAAGCCTGTACGACTATATAGGACTTGGAAGGGTTATGAGGAAAAGGAGCTTGGATAGGACTGAGGAAACGAACTGTGCCCAACCACCTGGGTCATCGGGGATCGAACGCTAACCTCCTAGAAGCGGGGCCGACGCTCTACCAACCAATCCAAGTGGTTGGGCAAGGCAGGCAAGCAGAGGTCACGGTACATACCTGGAGACAGGTTTGAGTTGAGTATAGGAGCCAGAAGATGCCCTGGCGTCCGCCTCCGTAGCCTCCACTAGTCGAAGATGTGCCTGCGCTTTCCGCTCTTCATTCACGATTCTCTTCGCAGCGCAGAAGATCTTGTAGTAAACTGTTACCATCACAGTGAGGGGAATGTAGAAGGAGCCGAAAGTGGCATATATTTGGTACCAAAAGTTCTGGCAGACCTCGCAGATGGAGCCATCACCGTGCTCGTTGCCCAGGATGAGGATAGGCGGAACACTGATGAATGCCGCACCTAGCCACACGAAGGCAATGTAGGCCACCATTCTGCGAGGAGTTCGCTTCACGCCATACTCCAGGGGCCTCGTGATGGCCAGATATCTGTCCACACTGATCATGCACAGGTTGAGGATGCTGGCCGTGCAGGAGAGCACGTCGAACGACACCCACACGTCACAGGCGAGCCGTCCGAACTGCCATTCACCTAAGAGTTCGTGGAGCAATGCCATTGGCATAACCAGCAGCGCGACGCACAAGTCGGATACCGCCAAGCTCACCAGTAAATAGTTATACGGTCTCCTGAGTTTCCTGACGAGGCAGACAGCGACGCAGACGAGTAGGTTACCTACAACGGTGCCTACAATGATCATCAATAGCACCAGCACCAGCAACGCCGTTGTAAAGAGTCCGTGCAGAGAGCTCTCGCCAGTTTTAACACCCCCTCCGTCGAGTTCTGTTATATTAACCGGATCCACTGTTACCAAACCCGAGTCAGTGCCTACCATTGGTCCGTGGACGCCCGCAAGAGGGGTGTGGGCGGCTACAGAGGGCTCCAAAATCAAGTTGGCGGCATGAGAGATGTTGAGGAACTGGTGCAGGGATGGTGTTGGTCTGGCCACTCCCACAGAGGCCAACATGGCCACAGCGACCACCTCAACGCTTGCCGTTTATCCCGGCTGGTGCAAGGCTCTATGCCCCATGTCACCCGCGGCTGCCCACCAACACTCACCATCAACACCCACGCTCTGCACAATCACACACAACACTCGCAACACCACTTCACCTTTCACATAAATTTTCTTCAGAAATATTTTCCACTGTCTTAAAACTATGGAGTTAAAAAGGTTCTTAATAATGGCCTCTTTCACCGTTCTTGTTCTTTTCAACTCGATAAAAGCAGCACAATTTTTTCACTATACTACTTCGTTATTTCTTAGCGCGACGGACGGACGCCTTGCTCGGGTTGAGGTGGTGGAGGACGACCCAGCAGAGGGCAGCACCCGTCAGGCAGGCCTCACCAGGACCTGTAAAGAGGAAGTGTATGTCAACAAGAACCGTCTCAGCATTATACAACACGTCTTATAGGCCTATAGGCAATACACAGATGCGAGAACAAGCACTGGCTCTACAATGATATGTATAGCACACAATTTGTTGTTTACACAAACGTTCATTATATGATGTGATAAGAATAGCACGGAGGGTACTTCTTAAAAAAAAATATATAGATTTTCATTAGTGTGGGGTGGGGGGGGGGTGGGGGGACCCGGCAGTGCCCGGGTCTCTCTCCCAGTTTCAACACTTCCCTCTCTCCCTCTCCAAATCTCCCTTTTCTTTTCTCTATCTTCCCCCCCCCCCTCTCTCTCTCCCCCCCCTCTACCCATTTGTATAACTCCCCCCACCCCCCATCGCCCTCTTTCTCTCACCCTATGTCTGTCTCTGTCTGCCTTTTACTGTGTCTGTTTTCTGTTTGCCTTCCTGTCTCTTTGCCCTGGTCGACCTAGTCTTTCTGCAGGCCTATCTCTGTCTATTTCTCATTCTTTGTATTTTTGCTGACAATCTTTCTGTCTCTTATAAAAACAATATAATAATCTACAATTGGCATGTAGGAGGACCGTCGGTGGGAAGAGCTTCACTGCATGAAATATTAAAACAAAAAACCATAATAGTTTCCCATTTGCTCCGAGAAAGTGGAAGGGTTTAACAAAACTTTTGAAGGCGTTTATCGTCTTGTTTTATTCTACTATGGTCACAGTATGAACTGTGTTCTGACCCGTCCTGGGTCAGAATGTGACCCAGGACGGGTCACGCTGTCACGCTGTTCCATCTTGAATTCTGGCTATGCCGACCAGCCTATGTCCGTCCTGTACCCCGGACCAGTCCCTCTGCAAAGTTGAGTGAATCTAACCCCAAGCATCTGCCCTCCAACTTTGGACAGACATTCTCTTATAGACTCACTTAACAAATTACATTAATATACGAATGATATAGTTAATAATAAGCGCTCAAGGAGATGCTTCTGGAGATAATCCCACTATATAATATATTATATATATATATATATATATATATATATATATATATATATATATATCTTGTATAGCTTGTCGTCGGGTGGGAAGGACCTCACTGACGGAGGGTTTCAACTTTCAACTGCAGATATGTCTGTGCAAGAATGCTTCTTCCTGGAAAGCGTGCAGAGGTTTGCAATTATACCATTGACAGGAATCAAAGCATTAAGCTACGAGGATAGGTTAAACAAATCCAAAATTTCACAATTCCTAGGAGAGTGAAGGAACATAGGGGGGATATGATCACTACATACAAGATGAACAAGGTCAGCTTATTTAAATTGAGAGATTGTAATACACGAGGACATAACTGGGGACAGAAAAGTAGTTGAATCAAAGAAATCTAAGGAAATACTCGTACCCTGTACGAATAAAATATTCGTACCTTGTACGAGTAGTCAAACAATAAAGGACAGCACTAAAATATGAGAAAGCTACCTCTGTCAACAAGGCCAGATACAAATATAATTAACATCACATTCTAGTACTCACTGTTAGGCAAATACTGAGACGCCGAGTGAAACCACTTCATCCTTGAGACTAAATCACCCCCCCTCCCTAGTCTCCTCTAGAATTAGGTGGCTGAGGCGGGACCAATGAGCCAGAGCTCAACCCCCCGCAAGCACAACTAGGTGAGGACCCCGACACTGACCAGCCCTTCTAAGAGCTTGCGCAGACAAGACGTTAAGAGCGATAAGGCCGGAGCTTGAAACATGGCAACGGGACCTCACTAAAACTACGGATTACAAGTGCAACTCTTCTTGAGATGATGTTATCTTGAGATGATTTCGGGGCTTTTAGTGTCCCCGCGGCCCGGTCCTCGACCAGGCCTCCACCCCCAGGAAGCAGCCCGTGACAGCTGACTAACACCCAGGTACCTATTTTACTGCTAGGTAACAGGGGCATAGGGTGAAAGAAACTGCCCATTGTTTCTCGCCGGCGCCCGGGATCGAACCCGGGACCACAGGATCACAAGTCCAGCGTGCTGTCCGCTCGGCCGACCAGCTCTGCAACCACAACTTGCAGGAATTTGTTCGAATTGGAATGAGGAAGCAGAAGTCGGGGCTAAGGAAGCGAGGTGTTGGAACAGGACAGAAGTAGCAGACGGGAGAAGGATGCTGATAAAGATGGAGAAGATCGAGGCTGAAGATGAGACCAGAAAGATGAGAGTTAATTTGGGTGATTAAGAGAATTGTTGTGGATGAGGAAAGGGAATTGTTTCAGATGAGAAACAGGGTTGTTAAGGATGAGGAATAGGGATAGTTTCAAGCACAGTCCAGACTGCGCTTGAAACTCTCCAATGACTGTACCCATACGGTCGTACTTGGTGACTTAAAAAACTGTCAAAGAGAGGGAAGAGAGGTGTCAGGGAGGGGGTATAAGTGTGTCAGGGAGCAGACAGAAGGGCACCGTCTGGAAAAATGGGGGTGGGGGGGGGGTAGGGGATCTTGAG